CGGCGGCGGCGGAGGCGGAGGCGCAGGCGCCGGCGGCGAAGCCCGACCTCGTTAGCGGCAGTCCGTTCAGACTGCTAGATATCACGCTGCGAGGCTGATCGTCACAATTTACAATTAAAAAATTAAAAGTACAACCAACAATTAAATAATTATACTATTTGATTGTATTTGTTATGAAACTTTAAAAACAATAAGTGCACTTACATTTTATTTTTCATAAAAGCATAGTCTACCATCAAAGCGTGTTACAATTACAATATACATAAATACATATTTAAACTATTTAGTAAGCTGCAAGACACACAAAGCGAATATATGAAAACCAACATTATTTATTAATTGTTATAAACCATTTGCACACTTTTAAACGTAAAACGGCAATAAGAATTACATTTCATAGACAAAATTTACCATTAAAACACTGCTACCAAAGAATTACATTGTTAAACAAATAAGGTATTTTATCACAATTAGCGTTACTTTCATTTCCAGATATTTATTTAATGAAAGCACGTCAGTGTTGCTTCATAAACGTAACGCTTCGCTCACTACAGCCATCCGTAGCAGCGACAGAACTATTTTCAGTCCTAATGCCTTTAAAGATATCCGTTAATGTCATTTAAAAATACAAAAGCTCCGTAACATCCCAGCACCGTACAAACCGACACCAATATATACCATGTTGCTTATATACACAAGGTTCAAATTGCGTGTACCTGTTCGTCGGTGGGCGTGGCGGGTGGTGCGGGGGGCGCGGCGAGTGCGGCGGGCGCGGTGGGTGCGACGGGCGCGACAGGCGCGACGGGCACGGTGGGCGGCTCGCCAGTGAGACACGACACCGCACGGTAGCACGAGCCCAGCTGCAGCGGCTGCAAGCCGGCGCGGCACACGCACACCATCCGTACAGAGGACATCGACTACACTACACCCACTCCGGCACACCTTACCAAATATCTCTCGCAGACAACATACTTAAACTAACTACCAACCAAACCATACAAACACAACCCACATCTGTGACCATAATGTGTTCAGTCTCTTCCCTCATACAAATTCATACAAGCTTGGTGGGTGGTCTTATTACCCCCCCCCCCTTTTATCTATACATTTAATAAAATTCGAGTGTCTGTAATATCAAAAGAAAAATTACTGATGTCTGTCTGTCTGTCTGTCCGCAAGCCGCGTTTGTTCCGGGTAATCTCCAAAACGGCTTGACCTATTTCGACGGACTTTTACTGGAGGGTAGCTGACATAGACAGCCATATTGTAGGCTTCGTTTTTACTCCACTGAATATTTAGAAGTTTTCTACTGAATATTTAGAAGTTTTCTTTTGCTCGTATCCGATATTATTTAATTAAATAAGATTGACAGCCAAGGTTTGACTTGTCAAAATGATCGTTTAGTCTTTTTTAGTCAAGAGAGTGCTCCAAGTACTTGGATTCTGTATCGTTATTCCAATATACAAAATATTATAGATAGGATATTTCAAGCCATGACGTTTCACAATCATTCAAAATAATTACCACACTTATTAAATTTAACCTTAAAAAATTCACGTCATTACAGATTATACATTAAATATAATGTAAAATTTCCGACACCATTAACTACCACAAGTTAGCAACACCGACATGCTTTCATTGACAAGATGCAACATGGTATGCATGATATGAGATTTGTCACTTCCTTATGATAAAAATAGATTTAAAGTTGTTTATGGTTTTAGTCAACATTCTGACCCAAAATAGGGTAATGTTTGCATGTAATTATACCAGGTAGCAAATGAGCAAATGCGTAACGTTGCTCATAGAAATCTGCAGGTGAAAAGTTGCAGATATTGCCTACCTAATATATTGAAATAATTGTTTATAAAATTTGTTGTTTTACATATTTATTATACATTTTAAAACATAGCTCTTATATTTTTTGTACATAAAAGCATTGTAGTTTGAAGATATCAGTTGCAGTGATTTTACAGAAGTACCAGTCAAGAAGGTTAATAAATGTTAAAAAGCGTTTGAAAGTATGCAAATGGTTATAAGCGTAACGCGCACAGCTTAAAACGGACTGTTGATAAAGTACATTCAAAATTCTTCATTTCATATTTAAATACTATTTTACTTTATTTCAAAAAGATCGATCAATATTCAAAATGAATCAAATATTTTTATAAAATAAAAGTGATATATCGATACGTGATATGTATCGACATAAAAATATCGATACATGATGTTCATCGATATCGATACTGTATCAACAGGCCTATAGCATGACAGTTGCAGTCGTAGCGGTCACCTTGGGGTCGACTGCGAGCGCGGGCAGCGCGGGCAGCGCGGGGAGCGCGGCGTGCGCGGGCGTAGTATTACAGCTGGACACAACCTCCGGGGTTGTGATGCAGCTGAACGGTATCGCCGCGTCCACCTGCAAATATATTAATGCTAACCATACTCGATACTGGCCGTATGTCAACTAACCGCACCTTTATTGCAATACCGTCACTATAATCGGCCGTGAATTAAACTAGCAAACCTAGAAAATAAGGCTGCGGCAACACTAATTAAACTAACGTCATGTCTTTAAAATTGTAAGAGGTTTTCTGACGCTTTGTTCGGTGCAATGGCAATATATTAGTTAAAATTATTTTTAAAAATCTTTAAATGACGGTATTGGAATAAAGATGCGAAATGTGTGAAATCCTACCTCTTTCACATTTAGTTCTATCCCAGAGATAGACTGGTCTTTTTCGAACAGATTTTTGAGTAGAAGCATCGTTAGTGCTGTTCTTTTTGCCTTTTTATCGTTCTTATAATTTGATATCTGATCCGTATTAGTTATTGATAATTGTAATTTCTCAGTGCTTTCTTTTCCGTTTTCAACATCTTTTAAAGCTGTATTTTTAATTGTGTTAGTAGACAGGCCTTCATTATTAGATTGTGTTAATATTATTTTATTGTCTAAAAGCATTGGATGATAATTCATTTCTGATTTACTATCTATTATCCAAATTATCTTTTCAGGTTTCGTATGACTTTCCACTTTACTGTCTTTGTCTTCTTGAATTAAATCACTTTCTTTGTCTTTAACTTCACGAGATTCTATTTTTAATTCGTTGCCATCTAGTTTTGGTGTGATTTTATTATTATTAAATTCCAATTTCTGAAACAAGTTACGTTGTTCTTCTACGAACTTAGAAAATGAATTTGTTTCATTATTTATGCGTTTTGCATAGTCTAGTAACTCCATTTCTGTATCATTCTGAGAAGATACCAAAGATATTTTTGACATATCTTTCATTTCGTAGTGATCTACTTTTTTTTCTGATGTACTAGCGATTGGTGATTTACTTTCATCATTTACTACTGCATTCTGTTTGTTACGTTTTTTGCACTTTCCTTTCTGATTCTTTTTAACACCAGTATCTTCAATATCAGTATTGGAACACCTTTTTGTTTGTTCATAGGATTCTGTTTCAATATTACCTATGGTCATATTCCTAAAATTTCTAGGATTGTTCAAAGCTAGAGTTGGTACTATTAGATTTTTCCTCATTTCCATG